AGAAAATATAGTAAATCATATCTTCTCACATTTATTTTATCATTCTTTTTTAATCTTATCTAAATTTTTTTATTTGTTATCTATATCGTGATATAAGGTCATTATGAAAAAATGTAATTTGAATAGTTAATATAAAATATCATTATTTTGTTATTACTGACAACGCTATATTGATTTTTATTTGGAACGACTGAAAAGTATCTAATAGTGTAAACATTTCCTCCAATCAATTTTGGATGGATGGGTTGAACAAAGTTGGCTTTAATTGAGGCATGAATGTAATCACTTTGTAATTAAAAATAAGAAATTAAGTTAATTTATTACAAATATTATTTTTGTTCAAAAATAATTTAATTAAAAACTAAAGAGGTTTAAAAAAAATTTAATAGAGGTAAACAATTTATAAAATATATCTCCTCGTCCAATAGGACCATATAATCTATTAAAACTAAAAAAACTTTAAAAGTTATCTTGTTTGCGGAAGTTTAGTACGTTAAACAGGCGTGAAACTCGTACGTTGATTTTCCAATTATTTTGGCTTGAATTTAATCCTGATTAAATTTAATCTGCATCTAAAAACAAAACTTAAAAATATAATCATTAAATATCCCAAATAAACATAATGTAAGTAATACTTACAAATATAAACATAATGTAAGTCATATTCTCATTTCAAGCTTAAACTTACTCATTAATTCATTACTCCCTCATGAAGATAATTTTAAATAGTATGATATTTTCATAATTGAACCCACCATCAAATCAATTACGTCGTGTGGAGATAATTTTTGGATAATATATAGGATATGTTCATAATTTAAACCCACCATCAAATTATGTAGTAGTTTAATACATAATTACCTTTTTGAATTTGGAGATTTATATCTTTCCTACTATGTATATTTTTTTGAATTTGTGATACTCGTAGTATTGATTTAATAAATTTAACCTTTTCTATTTTTACTATTCAAATAATTTAATTCGTGGTTTTTAATCTATGTGGCATTAAAATTTTAGTTATATCAAATCTAATTCGTTACTTTATCTTGGTGGCGTTATAATTCTTTATTCAAAAATAAAATCTATTAACTATTACTAAAACAAAATATTACTGACATCATCATTGTCCACATGTCACTCCCATAATAAAAAATTTCCCGCCTAAATGCAAGGATGATGTCATCTTTTTTTTTTTGTTTGTGTAGCTATCATATTTAATAATTTTGGAATTTGAATATTAGAAGTTTCTACATTACAACTACAACCCATCAATTTATCCTTAAAAAATGAAATAGTTTTAAGTAGCAAACTAATAAGGCAACGTTGAACAGGAATTATATCATAATGTTAATGAAAATCTAAAATTTTAAAAGTACATATATTTTTGTACAAGATGCATAATTCTTATTTATATTTATCTATTTTTTCAAAAATATACGTACAAATTATAAAATTAGATTTTATATAAACCATGCATGTGCATCGCACGGGTTCTAACCTGGTATGTATAAATCTATTTTATCATTGGTCAAAATAATTAGATTGCTTACGTGGCGCTCCAAATGCTCTCCAAAAATGCCTACTTTATTTATACATTAGTTTTGTGTCCTGGTGATGTCCAAATGGTTGATAAATGTTTATGATACACTTTTTAGATTGAATGTTAAATATGGTTGTATAATCCCTTTTAACAATGCAGGATATTTAGACACACTGAACTGAAATTACATTTTATTGAATTTAGATTATTTTTATTGAACTGAAATTATTTTCACCAAAACTAAAATTATTTTTTCTGACTAAAACTTATATTAATTCTCTATTATTTTTGTAAATAGATAAATATATTATAAATGGATCTTATTATAAGGAACTTTTTATAACGAATTTTATTATGGAATTAGTACCGAGTTATAAGATATTTATAAAAAGTTAGGATTAATTTTGTATATATGAAATTTCAGAAGTATAGCAATAATAAAACACTATACAACATTTTTATCTTTAAAAATCTATCCAAACTTCGCGTACTTAGCATCATATGTGTCACAATAATACCTATTTATCGACTACGTGGCGCGACACTTAGAAAAAAATCGGAATGCCAAGTGTCGTTGTCTCATGGTCTGGCTGCGAGACCGACTTTATTTATTAGTGACTAGTTTTGTTCCCGAGCGATGTCCGGATTGTTGATAAAATTTTAGGATAAACTTTTTAGTTTGAATGTTAAATATGGTCAAATAAACCCTTTTGATAATGCAAAATAGTAGTACCTTTTACCGTTTATTGCTTCCATTGTTCTTAAGATAAGCTGAAAAAAATAATAACATGATTAGCATAAAAAAAATTATTGAAATGTTTTTTAAGTAAAAAAAACTCGAAAAGTTCTAAGACCTTGCTAACATTGATTTAAATTCACTTCAAGATTCCCTTGTATTATACAGTTTCTGTCGTGTCCTAATTTTAATAGCTTTTGACTTCTTTAATTTCATTAACAAAATCACATACACAAAAATATTACAATCGAATATGAAAAATACCTGATTCAAAAGCTTTAAAGGTAAATTAGTGGCATCTAATCTATAATTATTACAACTAAATATGAAAAAATAATTTTATAAAGCTTTAAAAGATAAAAAAAAAATTCAAAAGAATTATAAATTATTTTATGTATAATTTTGTATTCTAATTAAACAAATCTATCCAGTCTAATCTAACGTGATATCTAATTTAATCACAATAATATTTATTTGTCCCCTACGTGGCTCAACACTTGGCGAAAAACCGGAATGCCAAGTGTCCGGTCTCGTGGCCTGGCTGTGAGATCGGCTTTATTTATTAGTGATATGATATGATATTATTATATTAGATTTGCATATAAATATTCGCACACTATTCTAAAGAGTTAAAAAAAAGAGTCACACAACATTAATGAGGGGAAATAAGTAAACAAACATATTGAGAGGCATAATTATATCAACACTATTTATAATAATGAGATAACAAATATAATATAAGGATAAATATATAAATAAATATTTTAAGGGCTATAATTATTTTAAGACTATTCATATATATGTACTCATACTTTCTAGAAGGTAGGGATTCACATACTATTGGTAATTATGAACAAATAGAATGTACTCAGGTATTATTAAAACTTAACACGTAAAACAGCTGAAATTAAGGAAAAGTTTTGAACTGTACGAGTATTTTAAATGATTAGAGAAAAATCTTTGAAGTTTATATTTTGTGAAATTAAGGAAAAGTTTTGAACTGTACGAGTGATATACGAGTATTTTAAAAAATCTTTGAAGTTTATATTTTGTGAAATTTACTCGTATTTACAACATAAAAAAGGTACAATTAGAAATGATTAGATTCTAGTCAAGTGTATGAAAGTTTTCATAGAATAAACAAAGAGGCTGAAAAAATAAATATGTGATTTGATAGAAATAATTTCTACAAAGTGACATATGTCATTCATAATTATCTCTTTTAACTAGAGTGGCTAATACATTCGATGCGTATGCCATAACTAGTCATTTTCGGAGAACTTTTTCATTTATGTCACCATGATGAGGGGGGAATGTAAATAAATATATTTAGGGGTATAATGTCATCACTTTATTCTCAAGAGTTTAAAAATCAAGGCTATTAACGTTAATGAGGGAAAATAAGTAAATAAATATTTTAGAGGATATAATTGTCCAACCACTATTTATAAGAGTTAACTACTCATTATCACACAATGAAAATCTTATAGGTTATTAACATCTTATTAATAGGGGCATATAGGTTATTAACATCTTATAAGTGTTTTCTCATACTTTTAAAAGGTAGGGATATACTTTGTAATAAGTCGTAGAGGGTGTCCGATCAGGAGAGGTTTGGGGAAACATAGAAGGTTTAAGGTTAAATAAAGGTTTGACTCAAACCTTTAACATAAGTGTTTCTATATTTGGTTGCAAGAGGATGTAGTAAAAGCTTTGATGAAAAAACCTACTCGTAATTTTGAAAATGCGTATATAAAAGATACTCGTAAAAGAATATGAGAGACTGATTATGTTTATACAAGTATTAGACCATCAACGACCCAATATGGTTGTCCAAAACGAATAAATCAGGGGCCCAATAGGCCAATATGAACTCCAACATGCATTGTTTTTTTGTTTTTCTCTTTTTTTTCCTCTCTCAATTTAAATTATAGTTTTAGCTTGTAATCTTAGTATCAGAAGTATGTGACTATGTACTGATCAGATGTGTGGGCTAGGCTCTATTCGGGTCTTACAAGATCAAGCCATATTGAACTTGAGTTGCTTTAGTGTTTTCATATATGTTGGATTTGAGTTCTAAGTATTTTAAATATAATTGAGCTACTACTCTCAAATCGAACTTTTGCCCTCCTATAATATCTTCTTATGTTCTCATGGACAGATTGTCCATTGATTAATGAATGGCACTCTACGTTAATTTTCTTCAAAAAAAAGTTGCTCTCAAATCGGGTAAGTACATAGTTTGTATGATACAATAACGGACTTATGGTGATGCTTATTCAAGACCAATCATCGTAAGTGGAAAGAATTGTGTTTGATAATGAGAGTGTCCAAATAGAAAGGAATTGAAGAGACAAATAACATGAGGGGGGATGGGAAAGAATTCAAGTTGAATCAATTTGTTTAGGTCATAAAATTTGATAATGCACTATATACTTTGATTCTATATCCATATCTATATTTATCATTAATTAAAAGTAGAGGTTAATGAGAGCAGAGAAAAAAGAGGAAATTACTCAATTAATATCAATCAAACAATACTTAGTAAATAATTTTATACATCCGGTGCGAAGATAGTAAGGCACGGATGCATTCAAGTATCTCAAAAAAAAAAAAAAAAAAAAAAAAAAAAATTCTTTTGACTAATCAAGAAGATCGTATAGCCATCTCTAAAAAAGAACCATTGTAAAGATAAAATATGCCCACAATGTTCCATTTGGGTCAAGTGGGTGGTACGTCCGGCTATTATCGTGGAGTCTCTACTTTTTAACTTTTTGTGTTGAAAATAAATTCGAAAAGGGGTTACTGGGTTTATCTTTTCTGGAGAAAATTCCCAATTATTCTCAAACTCAAAAACCATACCAAACCCTAACCCTAGACAACGCCCAATCATGTCTAAGCAAGGTTCCTCTCTCATCTTTTTCGACAATTAACTTGAATCGATTGTCGAATTTCTCTCCGGAACTGACAATTTTTGCCCTAATCTTTTTGCAGGTGGAAAGTTGAAGCCCTTGAAGCAACCTAAGAAGGATAAGACTGAGTTGGATGAGGTATGTAATTTTCCATATTTATAGTTTTTTTGTTTGATATTGATTTGTTTGTGATTTGGATCGGAAATTAGGTTTTGATTTGTATTGATGGTGGTTTGATCTGCTTTTGGTGATTGTCGAATGAAAAGTTGTTTTGTTGCCTTTTTGGAGCTAACTTTGAATGTTAATTTAGTTATTTTGCCAGTCTTTTGCTTTTAAATCAGTAATTTCTGCCTTATTTATTTATTTTGCGTCACTTGTGGAACTTTTTACATTGGAGGTCCAGAGATTGATCCCTTTACAACTTAATGATTGAGCTAATACTTATTTTTGGCTCAAGAATCTGTGCATCAATCGTTCGTTGATCGAGGTTTTACTTATAGACTGCATCTGTTTGTCCTGGATGTAGTAAATCTTTTAGTTAAGTTTGTATATGAATTAGTAAACTTTAGCGGTCCTGATTGATCCATGATGATTACCGTGAAACCTAAGGCGGATACAAGGTTCATTTCAAGGCAGGGTGAGAGCTCGGTTGTTTGTATTTTTGCCTCAAAAATTGTGGTGAGCCATGATTGATCATTTCATTGTCTGTGAAGCTATAGGTTGGGTTTCCTACCTGATGACAACCGTTTATTTTTAGTGTTGTATTGAGTATTCCATATGTTCTGTTACCAGTATCTTTGCTGTAAGTTGTTAGTCCTTTACTTAACAAAGTGTAGTAGCTCTGTTTTAGCAATATGTTCAACTACGTTATACCAGGTCACATAGTCGATTGTCTGTCACGAGGTCCACATCTAAGGCAGGATAGGGAGTCTTTTTCTGCATTTCCTTGATTTGATCGATCATTTCCTTCATTGGCCTTCTACAAGATTACCTTCCCTTATATTTATTTTTTGTGAGGCATCAGTTATTCCATATGTTTATGTGGCTGCTTTGACAAACAGTACTATGATCTGTTCCCCTACTCCAAAATGCAACATTTGAATTTTCTTGTACCCGTCTTCTTAATACCAAGTATTAGCTCTTGATATTTCCCTCATATGCCAAGGATCTCCTAGTAGTGTTTTATGTGCTAATTTATCTCCATGTTGGATGTATGCATGTATCTGGTTTTCCATGGTATCTCAAGTAAAATCGTATCTTCTTCTAGCTGTTTATAATATGTTTTCTTCTATTGGGGACATGTCGTGTTTGTTATTTTTTGGTATGTGTGATATGAATAGGACTTTTGTCTATTATGTATCTGGATCAGTTTTTGCTGAAATACTTTCATGACTTCATTTGTTTGTGATGTAGGATGACAAGGCCGCTCTTCAAAAGAAGAAGGAAGAGGAGAAGGTGAGTACTTGGGCTTTTTTTTCCTAGGTGTTGTGGCTTGTAGGAAAGACAGTTATATGATTTGGTTTCTTCATCTTGAGCAGGCTCTTAAAGAACTTAGAGCAAAGGCATCTCAGAAGGGACAGTTCGGAGGCTCAGGACTGAAGAAGAGTGGAAAGAAGTGAGGATGTTCCTGAAACAAAATGCAATGAACCTTGCAATTATATGGTGTGATATTGTTATTGTGATAACTATCGTAATTTAATGGTTGATGTTAAAATGCTAGTCCAACTCCTGAAGTTGCTAATGGTTTTTCTTATATAAAACTAATAATTTGAAGGCGGAATACATTAGCTTGGTCTGCATTTTTATTCTCAGCCTTTCTCTTTTTATACTTTTCTTGCCCCTGATGAATATCTGTGTTATTGTTTTTCGCTACAGGGTAACTGAGATATGTTTATACTTTGTGCTTGAGATGTGCTTGGTCTTGCCTAGGCTCACCTTTATAGATCATTATTGGTAAATATAAGTCGGTGCACATATCTACTTTTGTTCATAGCCTCAGAAGAGTAGAAATAGCAATTCTAACCTGATACTTCTGGTTTTTTGGCCGATTTAATTCAACTGATGATGAGGCTATGATTGTGTGAGAAGTCTGAGAACCATGTTTTTTTTTCCAAAACTATTGATGCCCTAGTAACTATCTTGTTAAAAAGTAAATTCAATTCATTAATAAACAATTGTACAACATTCACAAAAGAAATTGAATTTAACAAATACATAATCAATTGATTTTTTTGTATTATACCTTAGTGCAGTATGACCTAAATTGCAATGCGGCATACCAAACAAGTCGCAGTTGTATCTTGTATAGTACGTGTAGTTTGGGTTCAAAATTATCCACTCGTAGCTTATAGTCTTATACCTTGGAAATTTCAAATACAATAATATAGTCCTTGGAATAAAAAAAAAAAAAAAAAAGAGATTAGAGAGTACAATAAATCTTAATTCACAAGTATAATACGAACTTATGAAGTATGATTTTGTATATACAGAACAATATTTATGCTTTTATAAAATCATACTCCATAGCTACTTAGCGAATTACAAGTACATTCTAGGTAACAATAATTAGCATAAAGAAATAACATGCAAGTTAGAGAATTAAAACCAAAATATGAGTGAGACTTGGTAGTTGGTAATTTGGTATACATTCTAATTAAGGTTATATCAATCTTCTAAGTAACATTCGATTTGGTTAATCCATGAGCTATCCCTTACACATTTTGCTATTAAAAACAATTAACTTGACTGATTTGCCACAAAGGTTAGCAAGCCTAAATAAATTACTAATTTAGAAGTCATTTATCACTATAATGATGGAAATTTAAAAGATAGAAATTAGTCTTCAAATTGCCCCAATCCTTCATTTATAAAAACATGCATAATTTTATGTCTTTATCTTTTTCAAATGGTTATTTATGTCTCCTCTTCCCCACCGATTTACTTTTATTTAAAAAAAGCTCTATCTCCATCTTTATACGTGACTATTAAATTTCGGACAGGTACATGGTGTAATTAATAGTTGAGATGAATTTACTATTTTACCATGTAAAAGCAAACATAATTGAACAAATTAGTATAATAGCTTCATAGGCATATGTTGCCTCCATAAATGGTCTCCTTTGCCCCATAGTTTCTTGTGAAACGCAAATATCAGTAAAATCAATAAGGTTGTGATTCTTGTGAAGAATGTAATCCCCTCTTTTAGTTTTGTAACTTTTGTATCTCTGCAAGTTATCTGAATTCCATTCTCTTGGTCTTTGTTATCTGCAAGATCAATCCAACAGGGCTTGCTTATACTTTTTCTCAGGTTCTGTTTCGCCTTGTTATCATCTGATCTCATCGAAATGTCTCTTATAAACCGATGAATTGTTTACTATAAAGGGTCATGATGAAAGAGGGAGCAAGTATATCAAGTGAGAAATTACACACTCTACATAAATCAAATGATAAAAGTTAAAACAGGAGTACACAACAATCAGAAATATCATACATCAGAGATAATTTTCTGAAACTAAATACAGGTTTAATTTGTAAACTATGTAACAAGATTTATGTAGTAGCAAGCATTTGTAAAACGTTTTTAGTTCTAAAACTATAAAGCCACACTTGAAGCATATCCATCTTCATTCTGCATGAACTGATACACCCACGCGCATAGCCTTGCTTTGGAAACAACTCACTCTGCAAAATAACAGGACAAACAATGAGAATATATAAACGGTATGTATATCTTTAATTTTTAAAGCTATTGAAGAATATATGAATACTGATAAAAAAATTATTATGAATATCGAAGATCTACCATAGTCTTGAAGGTTAGGATGAGTGGGTTGAAGGTGGTAGGGATAATACTGATGAGGCGATGAAGATGAAGTACCAAGCTGGAGTACAGTACTGCTACTTGGCTGGTCTTCTCCATAGATAAACGGCATCTGCCCCATTAGTTGCTGCTGCTGCTGCTCTTGAAGTTGCCCACCTCCCATCAACTATGATTTCGGATTAATTTCTATATTAAGATATACGCGGTCTAGTGTAAGTTTTATTGTGACTTGCTTACCCAATGATACATGTTTCCATTGTCAGTCTGCAACAATTGTTCCTGCAGTACAATCGATTATAACCCAAAATGAATAATAAAATTATGTAATTAGTTTTAAGCATTCATGGTTAAGAGAATTAATCCTAGCAGAAATGGATTTAGAAATTAGTACAAACATGATCATTTATTAATTTGAATAACCTTTCTGCGAAGATTTTCCATTTGCTGTTGCATGAGCTGGTTCTGGAAGACCAGAAATTAAACACTATTTCAGATAATTTTTGACATGATAATAAAAACATTTTCCTTAACATATTTCTATAGAAATCTCACACTAGTTCATTTCTTGAGGTTCATCCATAAAACCAATTAAGTCAGAATAAAAAGACAGATTAACACCTTTCGTACTCGAATTACATTCAAGGAGGATTCAAGCTTTTGTTCATGTTTATGCAGGTACTCAAGGGGAAGAGGACCCAAATCCTCGCCCAAGTAGTTCCTTATGCTTTGCTCGGCGTTGTGAATCGCTTCCCTTAACGCTTGCAGCTCCGAAAATAGTTCTTCCTGCACAATGTATTAGCCAACATTTATTCATGCAAGTCATGATCAATTAGGACTAAAAACAAGAGATTAATCATCGAGTTTGTAATTAAATACCCGATTATCCTGTACTGGAAGCTGAATGCCTTGTACATTCAAATACCTCTGTATGGTTTGCTCTAGACTGCTGTCATGCACACATACACAACACCTCTATTAGCTCGGTCACACTAGGTCGGCGGCCATACAGTCAAAATTAAGAATACCTTAGCTCGAACAAAAAACACTCGGACCGTGACACTAATGCCATATAGCCATGTTGTCAATATCAAGTTATACACAACTGATATAACCCTTTAATTTCAAGAACATAATTTTTTTTTTTTTTTTTTTTTTTTTTTTTTTTTTTTTAAATATATAAGTACGCATAGTAGAGGGATTATCTCGTTGATTATCATCCTTACAAATGACTAATTTCTAGAAACTCGTTGAAGGGTCTAAGAATCGATCAATAATAAAAGGACAAAGAGGTCAAGAAATCATTGAGGAAGGTGAGCTATTCAGCAAATTAATTAATTGTGTAAGTTACATAATTATATAACATCAAAACTCATAGCAAAATAAAATGAAATTAAATATCGTATTAATTGATTAGTTGAGTATTTATCTTCTTATTGCCCCATCAAATTAAAATTAATTTTTTTGAAATTGAGTATAGGGAGGAACATATAACATTATTTTTCAATATGATTTACCAAGGCCGCTATTAGACATACAAAATGATTACGTACATATAGGTCTAAAACAATTCACCAATTATTGATCGAAACTGAATTATAATTTAGGTACATCACATAAAATAATCATTCTTAAGTCAAGATTAACCAAGTTATACTATAATTAATTAACAAAACGGTATAAATTACGGAAAATAATGTATCTTAGGGGTAAGAAATTTCATTAAAAATTAGATTAATTATTAAAACATAATTTTCTTAAAAAAGAAGGCATCATAAAATATTAAAATTGGTCAAAGATAGAGGTCCAAAGATGCAGTTAGATTAGAAAAAAAAACTGAAAAGTAATCATTTCAAAACCACATGAAAAAACATCAGAAAATTTATTGATGAGAGGAAAACCCTAGCTACTACATACTTTAATTTATCATAAACTTTCAAAGTTAAAAAAGGCTTAGATTCCACTAACTCTAATTAATTAAGAATAATCCACATTTTTTTAATTGACATTGACCTGTTGGAAGATTCAGGATAAGTATGAAGTTTTCCAGTTCCAGAAAAGATGATGAGACCAATTTGAGCATCACAAAGAATGGCAAGTTCTTTGGTCTTCTTCATTAGCCCTTGTCGTCGCTTCGAGTAGGTCACCTGCCTATTAGTTCTGTTCTCTATCCTCTTCATCTCTAATTTTCCCCTTCCCATGGTGTATGTGTTGCTCAATTCTCTTCCTCCAAAAAAAAAAAAAAAAAAAAAAAAAAAAAAAACACAAGTCAGAAATGTATGTTATCATTATGTATGTTAATAATTCAAGAAATAAACTTAGCTAGCTTTGTTTCGAATTTATTTGTGGGAAATATAATGTTGCTAAGTACATAAAATGCTGAGTAAATATGTCAAAAATAACCACACAAAAAAACCTCACATATTACAAGGTTTAAGACAAAGCCCATGTTAAGTAAATTTGTCAAAAATAACCGTCATCCTCCAAAAAAATTTACAAGCATAAACCACCACATTTAATACCATACTATTATGATCATAAAATGGAAATAGAAAGAAACAAATGGTGTAGTAGCTAATTAGGCTGCGTCTTGTAGTTAATTAGACCGCGCCTTAGGTGTGATTGACGAAGGGTTTCAAAAACAGGAATATAAGGGGAAAGGGATCAAATTCTAGGGGAAAAAAAAAAGGAAAAGGGCAAAAATAAACATAACAATAATTAAAAAGCCCTTTCATTAACACCATTTGAAGAGATGATCGAGGTAGCAGAAAAGTCTTAGAAGCTTACTCTTTTTTCCCTGAATTTACACAAGTCAGCCCTAATTTGGATTTCTTGATTTCTCTTTCTTACTTCTTAAACTCACTTCTACTCAAGCAAGAAATCATAACTATATGTAATAAGAAAAAGGGTTTTTTATTTTTTTTATTTTTATTTTATTTTATATATATATATATATATATATAGGGTTTTTTAATAACAATAATTGTATGTGTTATATATAGTTCATATTGTCTATTTTAAGTTAACCAACTTTTAAGTTTCTGAAATATAGTCTTTCTATTGTAGGAAAAAGTAGGGTTGAGTTCAATAATTTACACCTTTGTTTTGCTTTCACTTTATGTGAGAAACTGAGAATAAACATCCAACCGACCCACTCTTCCCTGACTAACTATGTTTAATTTGTGTGATGAAGACTTATAAGTGGAATCATAATCAGACGAGATTATTCATATATACTATCCTCTTTATAATAAACGCGTAATTTTTGGGTTTACTACTTTATGCTACGCGTAACTAATAGTCTTATACCTTAGTGCGTTATGACCTGTATTGCAACAAGTCATACTAATTACACAATTTCTATTTATGCAACAAGTCATAGTTAGTAGAAGAATCAAAGTACCTTGTATAGTGTTTCATCAACCTTCATTCAAAAATAAAAGTTGCTTTTATATCAACTTGTAATTTTGGGTTCAAAATTATATACTCGTAGCTTGTAGTCTTGTACCATGAAAATGTGATCGAGAAAGTTGTGATTATTTATTAGAATGATCTTATGGAACAATAATACAATGAGATGAGTAAGATTAAAGAGCACAATCAATACAATCATACTCATAGCTACATAGCTAGTTAAAAGCGAAGCTAAGTAATTTCTAGGTAGCATATAGAAATATAACATGCATGTTATAGAGAATTAAAACCAAAATATGAGGAAGACTTGGTATACACAATAAAAACTTATTAAAAGTTTGTATATTAATGTTTTTTTTTTTTTCCTTTTTCCTAAAGATATATACCATGAATCATAATTAATAATTTTGGTAGATAATACACTACTTTTTTTTTCTTTTTTTTTTTTTTTTTTTTTTTAACCGACTAGCTAGTTGATTGATGAAGGATAACAGTTTACGCCTTTCTTATTTTCATATCCAAATTCCAACTTCCAAGCAAGAGACAATAACATGTTATTGTGGGGAGGCTTTGCTTATTGTCTTCCACATAACAAATATCATCCAAGCCTCTTCACATACTAATTACACTCTATTCGACTTAATCCTTTATATTGTTTGATCTTAAATTGTTGTAGTCGAATAAATTTATTTTTTAAAAAAAAGGGATAGTTATACTGCCTTATACGCTACGAGTATATGTTTTATTTTTATATTTAAAAACGAAAATTAATCTAAACACACAAAAGACAATTATTACTATATATATCTTGAGAGGGTGGGAAATTATGTGAAACATAAGTCAATATCATAAACATGAAAAGCTAGTGGTAACATAATAGTAACATGCATGGTAAAAAAAAAGATTGGAAAATTCAGAAGAGTTAGTGGAGAATAAAGAGGTAAAAACATGGGACTTTCCAAATTTAGGATTTACAAAAATAAAGGGTGGTCCTTCCAGCTAGGGGAAGCTGGCATACATACTTCAATATAATTTGGAGTCTATTTTTAGTATGTTTGTTTATCTCTTTTGTCCCTCCAAAACAGTTTTTTCACATGCACCTATTTCTAATCTTCATTTCAAATTTCCATGGTGATAATACTAGGGTTAATAACTAAGTCGAGTAGCAACAACAATAAGACATGGAAACCTAAATCTCAGTGATAGGCCGGAATTGGCTACATAAACCATATTTTATCATGAAGTCCTTTTAAAGTACTCAATTATTCCAACTAAAATGTCGATAAATTAAACTACATCCAATACAGTTGTTCCCAATAGTCATAGTAGAAGTAGCCTCTGTAACTTGAGTGTACCAATGATATGTAGTGACATTTATAACCAGAATACAAGCTTAATTTTTACTTAGTCTTTTGTTTAATTATTATATAGCTAATATAGATGCTAGCATGCACAACCTTTGTAACGATACAATTACCTCAGATCATGTCATGCCGTCAACAAGTTCCTAGGGGTCAGCCCACGTATCATCGGGTTGTGTATGTCAAGTTGTTCAAGGCTCGTGCCATGCCCAGCTGGGTGAGGTTGTCTTGGTTGTTCAGTATTTGTGTGGTTTAGGCCAGTTTGTCATAAAGCCAACCTACCAACAAAGTAGAAAAATTTCCTAAACAGAGAAATATTCACCCTAATCGCACTATATTTTCATGGACATGGTTGTTCAGTATTTGGTGAACATTTAAAAAATCCAACAGCGCAGCTTATCTCAATAAATAAGTATTTGAATGTGAGTAAAATCATAAATATGATTAATTTACTGCGCAGGAAGATTATGACATAGTCTCCATAACTAATCAAAATATTGTTTACATATATAGATAAACAAGGACAAATAAATAGTAAATAAACATTTTTCAGGACAGTGCAAATTTCTCCATCATTACTTGAATCAAACAGGTGACAAAGGCAGCTGGAAACTTCTGCAATTTGCACTCAAGCTCAGGCGCTTCAGCAATTCCTCCAAACCTACACTACTTGAATTGAACAGGTGACAGAGGCACGCGGTAAGTTTTGCAATGTGCTCTCAACTGTCATCATTTGATCTACATTTGCACTGCAATCTGGGTATATGACCAAATTCTCCAGAACTAATGCATTTGTCAGGAAAAACTGGATCAAATCTATTTCCCTGTCATTTCCCAAGAAATTTTTAATCACATTTTTTTAAAGATGATATCTGCAACATGTAGGAACATCTGCCAGAGCTGTTCTACAAAACTGTTGTTCTGAAGCAAGTTCCTGGCAATGAGGATATACAGTTAATCCCTGCAAATTAGATGACAATAAAAGTAAATTTGTTAAACCATTCCTGAATTCAATCCATGTATGTGAAAATATATCAAATTAGAACGAAGCGACATGTACACTAACCTCAGGGAATACAAGTGTTTCCAAGACAGGCGAACGATTAAGAAATCCTAACAATATACTATCCCAAAAGCTACCTTCATTGAAACCCAGTTCTAAACACTTCAAATAACAAAACACGGGCAGTTGATCCTTTAACTCTTCATGGTTTAATTCCTAAAATCAACAGATAACAAGCAGTCAAGTCAGTTAATCAATTAAAATCAAATTGATGACAGAATGGAGGCAAGATCAGAAATTGAGACAAATTAAACCTGTAAGAATAAATCGTTCACAGTCAAATGCTGAACATTCGACAATGGCCTCAAAAGGCTGAGTTTTAGCTGGCAGAAACCTCAAATGCAACCTCCAATAAATTATTTTCAATAACAAGGTTTGCTTTGACAAGGCGATCCATGTTTGTGATGTTGTAATGTGATGCTTAAATCACCACTGTAGTAAAGATACTCCAAATTAGGAGTATGAATAAGCACCAAGTCACTGCTGTGATGCTCCTCATATTTGTTCCACACTTCCAGCCGAGGGAGCCCCAGTTTGGAAAATAATGTGATGTTTTTCACTTGTGGGGACCGCCTATGTGTAATGAGTGGAGCTCTCAGATCTTGACACATACCCCATAAAGGCCATCGTCGGGAATTAAGCAGCATGTAAGGAGAGTAGTTTCAGGCTGGGAAGACGGAAGGATGTAGAGGTTGAAGCTTGATCAAGACCAAGGTTAGTATCAAGCTTCAAAATCTCTAATGTCTCACACGTGAAAATTTCCGGTGGCAGCTGAATATCCCCTTCTTCCCTCACATGAATACGGAGGTTGAGCTCCTTGAGTCCAGAAAAGGTGTAAGGAAAAGAAATCCACGCATTAATATGCGAGGATTTCAAGTCTAAACAACAGCCGTTGCGACACCGATATTCTCTATGCTTGGGACTCCGATATTAATTTACATTTACCAAGATATATATTATATGAAGTATTTAACAATATATTTAACAGGAAGTAACTAAAACTACAATCTTAGAATTCCATAAATAACGTGTAAATGATTGTGGATTGATTGTGGTTTTATGTTATGTATATATTCTTAAAAAAAATCTACATATTATTTATTTAATTACTTCGTAATATATTTTTTAGGTAATGCCCAAAATAAACATAGGTAAATGCCTTAAATACAAATAGAATATATAAGACCCTGTTTTCCTATGTAATGACCAAGTAGTTTAGGTAATTAATTACCTAATCCACAAGTTCGCGAAAAATTAATTAATTTTTACGGATCAAATTGATGAGACTCGAAAAGAAAAAAGAAAAAAAAAGGTCGTCTTTCCCGATTACACAGTCGGAAGAACGCCAATCATTCAACCTAAATCACTATGCCGCTGGCCATCGTGATATTGCAAAACACCTACCTATGCGGGTAATTCTTCCTTAAAGAAATACTTAAAATTGAGATTGTTGTTAAGATTTCTTTATGAACAAAAACATAAATTCAAAACTGAAAAAACGAAATAGTACAGAACAATTCATATATTGAAAAAAAAACGAAACAGAACAACACAATATATTTACGAATTGACAATTAACAATGATTTTGGAAATGGGTGCATGGCTAATCTATGACATGAATGAAGAACAATGATCAAAAATTTTAATTTTGTGATTTTTAATTATAACTATGATTTTGAAAATTGATTAGTATTTTAAAAATAGATTTCTAATTTATAATTATGTATTTCTAAGAAAATACATGTATTAAAAAGAATACATAATATAAATATAGTTTTAATACATTATGAACATTAAAATTTTAATTACATAAATACTGAACAAGAATAATAATTAAAATTTAATATAATTCTATACAGTTTTAATACATTATGAACATTAAAATTTTAATAGAATAAATAGATCAAGTTTTAATACCTGCAACACACAGAAGTTCCGGT